TCCGTTGAAAAATGCGGGAAATGCCACGCTCTCTTTGGAAAAGGCCGGCCAGTTGAGCACGGCACAGTTTGTCAAGACTCCGTTGTCCCAACTGAACGACAACGATGTGGTAATTAGGGTCCTCTGCCTTGGCCTAAACGCCAAGAACGTATATGCTCTCGCGGGTCGTCTGAATGTCCCTCCCAAAGGGTTCAGTCTCGAGTACACAGGCGAAATCGTTGCTGTAGGCTCTGCTGTCTCCAGCTTGGCTGTCGGAGATCAAGTCACTGCCTTTTACCCCAACTATTTTGGTACATACCTAATTGCGCCATCTTGGAGTTGCATCAAACTCAAGAATGGAGAAGATTTACGCGAGATGGCTACTGTTTTAGTTGTCGTGGTGACAGCCATTTATGCCCTCCAGCATCGCGCGCATTTCCAGCCTGGGGAGTCTATCCTTGTTCACTCTGCTGCTGGTGCGGCGGGCATTGCTGCCATTCAAGTTGCCAAGCTTATGGGCGCCGGAGAGATCTTTGCAACCGTGGGAACAGAGGATAAGAAACAATATCTTGTTGAGAGCTTCGGGTTGCGTGCTGAGAACATTTTCAATTCGCGAGAGGCCGGCTTCGCGGCTGGTATCAAGCAGGCCACCAACGGTCGCGGCGTTGATGTTATTATCAACTCATTGGTTGGAGAACTCCTCCATGAGGGCTGGGAATGTCTAGCTGACTTTGGTCGGTTTGTTGAGATTGGTAAAAAGGACATTCTTGATGCTGGTCGTTTGAACATGGAGGGCTTTGCTCGTGGAACCACGTTCACGGCATTTGACCTGCAGAATTTGATTGAATCCAGCTTACCTGCCCATAGACGGCTGTTTCGCAGCATGCTAGAACAGGCTGTCGAGCTTGTAAGGGGAGGCCAGGTTCAAACTATCAAACCACTCTCTGTGTTCAATGTCTCGGATGTCGCTTCAGCGTTCCATCACTTCAACAGCGCTAAGCGAATGGGGAAGATCGTTATCTCTTTTGAAGATGAGAACCAAATAGTGCCAGTAGTCCCTGAAAAGTTCTCGACGCTTCTGGACCCAAATAAGGCCTATCTTCTGATTGGATGCCTTGGCGGCCTGGGCCGGAGTCTCTCCAAGTGGATGCTCAGCCGTGGCGCACGCCAGTTCATATTTGTCGGACGAACTGGTACTCAAAAGCAGGCGGCCAAGCAGCTTATAGAAGATCTGAAGGCAGCAGGAGCTATTTGCACTGTCATCACAGGAGATGTGACCAACTACGACGACGTTGTCAGGGCGCTCAAATCAACCGAAACGCCTCTGGGAGGCGTCGTGCAGGCTGCCATGGGACTAAGCGTCAGCTTCTTCAACACAATGTCCAAGGAGTCATGGATTAGTGGCATAGAAGCTAAGGTCCAAGGCACATGGAACTTGCACAATGCCCTTGCTAGTTTGGACAAGGAGAAGGATCTTGACTTCTTCATAATGACAAGCTCCGTGTCTGGTAAGGTGGGAACAGCAACAGAGAGTAATTATTGTGCCGCCAACAACTTTCTTGATATTTTTGCCTCCTACCGTCGAAGTCTTGGACTCAAAGGCATCGCACTCGGACTGGGTATGATCTCCGAGGTCGGATATCTACACGAGAACCCACACATTGAAGAGCTTCTCCTTCGAAAGGGAATCAGACCCATTAACGAGGACGAGGTTCTTCAAATTTTCGATTTTGGCATGTCATCGCCGCCTACTTCAGCGCAGCCAACCGATTTACTATCGTACTCACATATCCTCACAGGCTTGGAAGTAACAGGGCTCCAACGAAAGCACAAGAGAGGATACAACGGATACTGGGAGTTCTTAGCGGGATCACGCTTTTCCCTCCTCACATCATCGCTAAAGAGGAGCAGCGGAGACGAGGCAACGCAAGGCCCAAGTTCTCAGTCGTCCACCATCGCCGATGCCATAGCTTCCAAAGACGATGCGACGCTCATGGATGCCATCTGCAAAGTGATTACGAAGAAACTGTCCTTCTTGATTTTGCTCCCCGTAGAGAAACTCGACATCAAGACGGCGCTGTCGGACTTTGGGATGGATTCTATGCTGGCCGCCGAATTGCGTCAATATATCTTCGGGGCAACCAATGTGGATATCTCCTTTTTGGAATTGATGGATAAAAAGACCTCGGTGACGAGTTTAGCGAAATCGGTTATGGCAAAGTTACAGGAGAGTTAGCTTTGGTTAGTAGGGGGGGTCATCTTTAGGAGTTTGGCTGAAGTTGCAGCTTAGAGAATTAATTAGCAATCAACAGGTACTTCGTTTCAATTATATGCAGACCCTCTACAAGTTTGTATTTTCTATGGTATTTGACTATGACTATTTAGTAGATGTGACATTGTAAAGAACACGAGTGACAATGATCAGAATCAGGGTGTAATGAGTTCGCGGTCTGATCGGTGTATATAGGTAGATAGAAGGAGGGGTTTCAATACCCCTTGATGTCCGGTTTCCGTGATTGCAGCCCTCTCGTAAAGACCACTCATGCATCCAAGTAGAGGACTTGTTTTCATTAGTTAAATATTTCACTCTAGGGTTTGTTTGGTCTGTCAAGTATCTCATTATTTTCAGAAAGATCCCCTATATTTCCTCTTCCATTAAAGCTATAAAGCAACATGAATTGGCAGCAATAGAAGAAGTCAAGTTCAACATGCTGGCCAAACTAGAACCCGACAACCTCCCTAAGTAGTGTGAATCACCGTAGCCCAGACTCCGGATATGAAACAACGTTGAATCTTGGACACCCTCGCGGAGTTTCAACGCTGTCTGATGCTGTTTCACTTTTACATAATTACGAAATGTTGATTGTTGCGGCCGTAGTCATCTAAAGCTATGAGACCAATGTTTTATTGAGCGATATCGACGCATCTGCTCGTAGGAGTTGTCTGTCTGATGCGCAGTATTTCGTTCACAGCTTGCTCTTCCTCACACGCTTGGCCACCATCACAGTCCTCATTACCAGAGCATGGACCACATGTCCCCTGTTTACATACCAAACCACCAGTGCAGTCATCGTTGTCAGTGCAACTCCCTACCTTGGGAACGCAGAGACCAGGATATTTCGTTGTTTGGCGAACACTCAAGACATCAATCTCTGTAGGTGCTACACTTTGACGGCACATTTCGTCATCATCGCAGTCTGAGTCGTCAGAACAGGGCATACACTGGGAGTCTTTACAGGCCAATCCTCCCGCGCAGTCTCCATTAGCTTGACAATGTGGTTTGGCCACACAGGCTCCTTGTTCATTGCATCTCTGGCCCTCGTAGCAGTCGGACTCAGCGGTGCAAAGGCCGCACATCCCTTCTCGACAAGCCTTGTCCAGATCACAGTCGTCCTTATTCGAGCACCTAAGGTCTTCCACACAGGAGCCCTCAGGATTGCACATATCAAATTTGTCGCAGTCGTCGTCAGTAGAGCACTTCTCGCACCTCCCTTCTCGACATAGCAAACCCCCCGTGCAGTCACCGTTCCCCATACACCTAGTGTTCGCTACACAGGAGCCCTTGGGAGTGCACATCAAATTTTCATTACAGTCGTCGTCAGAGGAACACTTTCCGCACTTCCCTGCTCGACATATCTGACCGCCCGAGCAGGCATCGTTATCGTTGCACTCTGATGGCGCGGGTTTGCAGGCTCCCTCGACACAAGCCTGCCCGAAGCCGCAGTCCCGGTTTGACGAACAAGGGAGACATTCGCCCCCCAGACAGAACCTACCATCCGTACAACTGCTGTTGTCTGTGCAGCCAGCTTTTGATTGGCAAGATCCTTGGCCATTGCACTTCTGACCGGGCTGGCATTCTCCGTCCGACATGCAAGGAACACACACTCCCTCATCACAAACACGACCGTCTCTGCAATTGTTGCTCGTAGTGCATTCTGGATCAATGCGACAAAAGCCCTGGGCATTGCACTGTTTGGAGCCGCCACACTCCCCATCTGAGGAGCATGATTTACAGGAACCCTCTTTACAAACTCTGCCGCCCTCGCAGTCGTTGTTGGTAGAGCATTCCGGAGGAGACGCTGTTTGGCATTTTGATTCTGTGCATTTCTGGCCCTGATCACAATCCTGGTCGACCGTACAAACACCACATTTCGAGCCTTTGCAGACTTCATCGCCCTTGCAGTCCTCGTTCTTGACACATTCAGCCATGGGAGGAGCCATCTGGCAGAGACCGGCGCGGCACACGAGGCCTTCCCCATGGCAATCATCATTAGAAATACACATGCCACACTTTCCCCCTATGCAGACCTTTCCATCAGGGCAATTTAAGTTCGAGGAGCACTCTGGTGCCATTCGTGGAGGCTGACATTTAGACTCGAGGCATACCATCTTGTCATCACAGTCCTGGTCGATGGTGCAGATTGCACATTTTCCGTTTTTGCAGATATCATTTCCGGTGCAGTCCTTGCTTGACATACAGCCAGGGATGCTTGGAAGAACCTTACATGTGCTTTCGCTGCAGCGGTTGCCCTCATCGCAGTCGTCAGACGAGATACACTGGGTACACTTTGACTCTTTGCACACTTGCCCATCATGGCAATCTTTGTTCTTCGTACAGGCCCCCTTGCTCTCGGAGTTCTTCTCGGAGGTTCTGAGCTGACAAGTGTGGTCCTTGCAAGCTTTTCCAATACCGCAATGCTCGTCGCGTGAGCATTCCGGCCAGCGGTGAGAATAGCAAGTACCCTCCACACTGCATGTATCGTAGCCCTGGCAGTCGTTGTCTCCTCGGCAAGGCGATGGTGCAACTTTTTGACAGATTTTCTGCGGGTTGCAGAACTCCTTCTCACTACAGTCGGGATCGGACTTGCAACCGAACCGGTAATCAGGGAGTGCGCAGCTCTTGTTAGTATTGCAGTACTGGCCCGTAACACAGTCACTGCTCTTTGAGCACGTAGGTAAAGCAATACTCTGACAAACTCCGAAAGAGTTGCACACTTGCCCTCGTGCACATTCTGAGTTCTTCAAACACTTCTCTCCTTTCTGAGTAAGGCAGATGTTTCCCTGGCTGCAAACTTGGTTTGGAGGGCAAGTAGAGTTACCACTGCACTCTCGAGCGGGGACCAGCTGACAAGATCCACGGCCGTTGCACATATATCCTCCCTTGCAGTCCTGACAGGTCGTGCAGCCCAGTCCAGAAGATAGCTCACAGATACCAGTGGCGCCGCAGGAATAGCCGTCCCTGCAATCTCCATCATCGACACAGCATCGTAATGGCCCGCTGTAATCTGGCTTGGGACGCCACGGAACATGATGACGTTGTGGAACGCCAGCATAGATCCATGATATTGGCTCGTTATGTGCCTCGTCGGTGATGTTGCTTGTGTAAACGAATGACTGGGATGAAACTTCAATGCCACACGTCAGCTGCCCTTGGCTGCAGTCTGCAATCGCGCTCGCGAGCTCCTTGAATATCGTAACGGTTTCGGTTGTCGCTGCGCGGTCACGAATATGAGTATTGCCCAGTGCTGCCACGAGATAAGCAGCAGTCGTTGCGGTAATTAACCGCAAGGAAACCATTGCGGATGAATCAAACCAACGTGGGTGTCTTTCAAACTGATTTCACCCAAACCAAAAGAATAAAGACATACAGGCCATCAAATACAATGGAAGGAAGCCATAATCCTTATATGGCTGGCTCTATCAGGACAGTGTACCTTGAAAATCTAAGCTCAACTGAAGAAGCCATATCACCGCCTTCTTTTACCCGGTATGTGAGTTATTATCTTCCCTTCTGCTTGTCTTGTCATACCCATTCCACTATTGCCGTAACTAAATATGGAGTTATTTTCGGCAGAGCTAGCTCCATCAACTTATTCGGGTGATTTGCGAGATGGTGAGACAAACTGGTCTCTCCCGTGCCCAGTAATAGTCCAGAAAGGGCGAAAATCATTGAAACCCAGGTTTTGCCAATGGAATGGGAGGTGATCTTCACTGATGCCCGGCAAAATATGGATCCCTCTTTTGCTACCACCAGGAGTCCGTAAAACACGCGCAAGGCCAAGGGCTTCATTCTTGAACGAGATTTTGTTTCCATTGAGGATTTCTAACGAACAAAGCAGTACTTGTAAGCAGTACTTGACTCAAGCTATCTAGGCACTTTCCTGCGTCACCTTCGATCAAGCATGCCGACGGGTCTAGAACGTGATGTGTGAATCAATCTAAGTTGTCAACAATCCAAATTCTAACCACTCCGCCGCAACAAAGACATGCCTATTTCTCTTCCAACTATCAAAGCTCTTCTTATTATGAAATTCATAAATATAATCGTAATGATCAGAATTGCTCTAGGGCATACCTAGCTCAGTGTGCATTCTCCTCTCCTTACCCCTTGTGAAGGAGGGAGCAGAGCTTTTCTACAATAAGCCGACCTACCCTAAAATCGTCTTCACTTGAGGAACTGAATCAAATTCAAACCATTATGACAATGATGTGATTAAATTGTAAACTGCTATTGATGGATTTTATTCAAACAGCTCCACATGTACATCTCCTTGCTTAAGCATGTTTCGAAAGTTGAGAGATAAGTAGATATAGTATTGATGAAGCTCCTCCGACCTGTTTGACGCAAAACAAGGTTTGTTTTTCGAGATACCTGATCTAATATTATTATATTGCTTTAAAGGACCGATGAGGACCTAGATTCATATTCCCAAAAAAGTTTGATCGAAAGCACGCTAAGCGGTAGCTGTTTGATTGGAAATTTACCAAGAAATGCTGCTGATGCATCATTCATGACACAGGATCTCATCATGCAACTATATTTAATACTCCAGGAATTGGTGTCAGGGGACAATCAGGTACTCAATTAATCTGACTCAAGCTTGAATGAATCTTCCGGAAAGTGCAAAACCAATACCTGACCACCATGGCAGCCGAGAGCGACTGTGGACTGCTCTATCGCGACAGACGAAGGTCGAAATTCCGCTGGCAACCACAAAATCTTCTTCCCATCCCTTACGATCCATGACTTATCATCCGATACTGAGAACCCATCTGGTGCCGAAAACTCTGGCTTTCCCTCCAGTAAGGCTCTAAGAACAGATGTTAGGTCGATTTTTTTCTTCCGGGGCTCTCGAGTGGACCATCTCTGGTTCTGTGCCAGAGATTGTATTGGAAAAGCGGCCTGCTGTGTTCGAAGGGCCGGGTGCTCACGTGTGCGGAATTCATAGACAGGTGTATCGCTGTCTGACACGGAGAATGCTTCTGGGATGGGCACGGGATCACCGGTGGCTACGTCCCACAATCTGACGCGACCGTTCTGTTCCAGAGAGGCCAACCGCTCCCCATCGTCGGAGAGGACAAGCAAGACTGGTTCTTCTTCACATTGTATGGGAGGGGCGCAAGACTCAGTCTCTAGATCCCACAATCGGATCAGTCCATCGCTCGAGGCCGTGAAAAAACTCCCGTCTGGGTGGAAGATGGCCGCGTTAACCTCCTTTTTCGCATGGATCAATGTATGAATGCACGTTCCCTTCTCCACGTCCCAAACTTTGGCCTCAAAGTCTTCCGATGCTGTAGCGAGCTGTTTGCCGTTCTCTGAAAATGCAATCGAGCAAATTGGTTTGGCGTGGCCCTGCATTGTTGTTACCAGAACACCATCGTGGGCATCCCATATCATAATCTTTCCGTCTGCACCTCCAGATGCAGCATATCTGCCGTCATTTGAGACAGCAATAGCGTTGACCTGTCCCACATGTACCTCGCTGGCTGAGGTATGGTTGTTATCATGTATGTGACCCAGCCCTTGGGTCGCCAGCTGAGTCATGTCCCAGATCTTGACGGTGCCGTCCCTGGATCCGGAAGCTAGGAGATGATATTTCGGCGACGAAGACAATGATTCAACATATGAGCTGTGAGCATGGAGGGTATCTATGCAGACTCCGGTCTTGACATCCCATATCATCAATGCCCCGTCCGCTGCTCCTAACATCATGCGTTTCCCTTTGTCGAGCGGAATTGCCTGGGTTATCCTGTTGTTCTCAGCTTGGAACGTCTGAAGGCACTTTTGTCTGTCGACATCCCACAGTTTGATTGTTTCATCATACGACGCTGATATCAGTCTGCTATCATCGCCTGCATACACCAGCCAATCTAGATTTCTCTTATGCCCTTCCATGGTGCGAACGCATTTCTTCTTTTGTAGGTCCCATATTTTGATGAAGACGGTTGATGTAAACAGGTCGATTGAGGATATAGCCAGTCTATTGTTGCATATATCAAGAGGAGAGCCGGCTGTGCGTTTCGTGACCCTTAGATTAATCGTGTCCAAAAGCTCGGCGGTATCGGGTTTCCAGATGGTGATGACATCGGAAGAACCAATGACTACGGTCTTTGAAGTGTTGGTTCCAATGACTTCCGGGTACTCAATATCTGGAACATCCAAAGTTTGGATCTCCGTTCCCGTGGTTAGATCCAAGACGTGGATTTTTCCCTCCATTGCGCGGCTGAAAGCCCTCGGCTTGCCATCACAAAGTAAGACCGAAGACCACGACTTGTTTTCATTGCCAATGGTATCGAGGCAGTCGCCTGTTGCCGTATCCCAGGTTCTGACCTTTCCAGTTGAAGAGACGGAGAAAAGTAATTTTCCATCTGCAGAAAAGACAGTGGATTTTACCTGCTCCCCGCTGTGCTCGAGAGTAAATGTAGACGCATTCCACTTTTCTTCCAGGGGAATGTCATTGAAAGTCCATTGAGGAGGACGCTGTCTCCTAAAAAGATTTCTGACTTGACTTTCTGAAGGGCTGAATATGAGTGGTGCGGCGTAAACTTGGAGAGGAGCCGCCTCGATAGCGTGTCTAAATGTGACAATGAATCGGTGGCTATCTCGGACTATCTCTGCCAACTCGCTTGTATCGTCTTTCTCCTATGTTTATATTTAGCAACCCTCTTTCGATAGATCTTGATGAACGGAACGAGAGTACTTACTACGAAGGCTTTCAGATTCTGGAATGCAGTCACGGAGTCGGAGACACCGCCAATGAGACTCAAAGCTTCTAGCCAATGCAAGAGATGCTCCTCAAGAAACTCGATGAGAGCCCCAACAGCTTGTTCTGAGTTTTGCTGAGATTGATACTCGATGAAATGTTCATCCCAGAACAGCAAACAATACTTGATAGACGCGAGGGGATCTGGATTCGGAGGTGAAGCCTGCTCCGTCGATATGCCTAGATCTTCGAGGTCATAAATGTTCTGTTTGAGAATACTCGAGAGGACCGAAATTGATGTTTCGAAGATGATCTGGTGTTGCGAGACTATTTGAGATGGGAAGATTTCGTCGGCGGCGTTCTCGATCAAGAAATCCTTGGCACTCTGGTGAACGAGAGAAACCACATCACCTCGGACAGACAGAAAGGAACCACAAGATTCGACGAGGTGAACCACGTCATCTTGTGTCATGCTCCCGAGATCTTGAATGAGAGTTTGAAGCTCACTGATAGAGAGGTAGCGGTAAACGGTGCATATCGTACCAAGAATCTGATAGCATGTCTTTGCCCGTCGGAGGACAGATATTCCCTCCATCATCCGTTTGTACAATGGGTTTAGCTCGGCAGGAAATTCTTTCGCAATATCGACGGCGTCGTAATTCGCCACACCACTCTTGGTCAGTTCGGTGCAGACCAATCCTACCCAGAGAAAAGTCCCATTTGCGTTATTGATGAGATGAGGCCTGATGACATCAATATTCTTTTGCGATATTGTCTTCTCCAGCTGTTGAATCTTGTGCTCAATATAAAATTCGATAGCCTGTGACAGATCGTTATCGTGATCCCTGAGGTCCAGCGTAGTCTTGTCGACTGATGCGAACTTGTCCTCGATATCTTTCCAGGGTCGACTTGAGACAACCCACGTAGCCTTAGTAGCGGACGACAAGGTTGCGATGATATCCAAGAGCTCGTCCCTATTTGTCCTGCACTCATCCAAGGCGTCAATAGCCACTATCGCCCCTTTTGCGCTCTCATCTTGCAGCATGTTGGTGAGGATTTTTGCCAGAGTAACCGAGGCGTTCTTCTCAGAGAAAGCTACAGCCCCTGAGGTGTCCCACGTCTTTCGAGCGTGTTTGATGAGGGAAGGTCGTTGAGAGGCAAGCATCCAGATCAAGCCTCTTAAGACTGCCGTGGCATTGTTCTGATTTGCTTCGGGTTCTTGACAAAAGAAGTAGGTTAGACAAGGATCACCATGATCAACATCACTCTTGAGGTGATCAATGAGCCCGCACATCATCATTGTCTTTCCTTTGCCCGGCTCGCCTTTGATCCAAAACAATTTCTGCTGGTCGCTTTGATGAAAGTCAGAAAACGGCTTCAGAATCCAAGCATACGAGCCCTCCAGCAGCCCTCCCTTCTTCTTTTCAATGGAATCCTTCTCAACCTGAGGATCTACCACTCGCAGTTCTTGAAGGCACTTCAGATCTTTTTCGTCTTGGTAGCGCTGCTCCTCCCGCTCCGTCTGATCCTGAATCGCTCTGTTAATATCCTGGAGTTGCAGCACCTGGGCTTTCGAAAATTCCAACAGACCACTGAGCTGAGACTTTATGTGCTCAGTGTTGTACGTCTTGGAATCCTCAAGAACCGCCTTTTCGGCCTTCTCAATCCCGGTGACTTGACCGGCCCAGTCATCGAGCTTGAATAAGTCTCGTAAAATGACCTTGGCCCAGTGGAGATGGTAAAGATATATACTCTTCATTTGGTAAGAGAGCAATGACTGGTACAACTTGACGATGTGCTTCTCAAGCTGGTCTCTAAGGTCCTTCGTAGACGTTTCCTTGTTCCGATTCTCGTCTAGAAGTAGATCTGCCAACTTCCAGTACCATTCCATTCGTGCCAGGACCCAGGAGAGTCCCTTGCGGTTTAAACCTGGCTGCGTGATTGGGTTTGCAATGATCTTCAACAAGAGTAAGCATGGTCTCCAAAACAGGGAGTGGCGATGAAAATAAACTGACCTCAAGCCCAAAACTAACGCCGGCCCAAGCAACAGACGCTTCAGGCGATGCTTTGACTGCTTGATCAATCAAGCCCTTAACGTTCGCAATGGCATCAGCCCCTTCACTAATCTTGCCCTTGAAATTTGCAAACTTTTCAGAAGATTTCAGCCCAACATCAATTGCCTTTTTCATTTGGTCTTTTCTCGTCTCAGGCGTCTCCCCAATGGTGCTGCCGCCAGTCCAGGCTTCATTAGACTCGATGTTCTTATTGCTCAGCCTAGCAGATAGAATAGTCTCGTAGGCCTTGACGAGATCTTCGTCTGAATCCTTCAACCCCTGGTAGGCTGCGTCCCACAGTTTTTCGGGCGTGGTTTTCGTCTCTCCCACTGGCACGTCTGGTTCCTGTGCCTCTGTGGATGGGACACGATCAACTGCTGGCGCGGCATCTTTTCTGGGCGTAGGCTCTTCGCTATCCAGGGGCTCATTGCCGGACACAGTGGGTTCTTCCGCTTTTGGAGCAGCATGGGGCGGTGTTGCCTTTGGCTGCGCAGTCAAAGTCTTTGCCGCTGTTGCTTGGGAGTCAGCCGGATGTGAGCTTGGCTTCCCCGACAACTTCTTTTTGAAGTCTGACCAGCCCATTTTGCATTCCTAATCGATGCAGCGAGAGTGATGGTGATGGGAGAAGGTTGTGCCAAAGGAAGAGGCATATCTGAACCTGTCAGCTGCATGCATATCTCTGGGATTATGGAGCTAGTTCTGTAACACGTCTTACCCCTCTCTGCTTACTCCAATCAGCTTCCCAGTTGAGCACCAAGCTGCATGAAAAGTGTTCAGCTTTGAGCCACCGTAATTTTGACGCGCTTGTACCCAATCCCATCATCAGATTTATGCAAGTTTTGGGTGAGATCCTAGCAACCAAATTCAGTCGTCTCCAGCGGCGTCAGCTTACTGCACAAGCGCAGAATGCATCTGAAAATGGACTGCTTCCTCCAGGTGAACGGAGATAAATTCAAAATTATCATTGGGCCATTATCACCGTTTCAGTTTCGAGTTTCTTCCCCACAGATCCAAATGCTCCCAATAGCCCCCTTCAACGGCGACAGCTCAAAACTCGTGGTCACTGCGTGTCGTCAAGTAATTCGGTTTTGGTTTCTCAAGAGACTTAGCTGTTAACATCATACCCTTGATTATGCACCCTGGAAGAGGAGCCATTAGACCCAAAAAGATTCAAAGCTATGACGAGCTGGAACAATATCCAAGCAACATCCTCCAATGATATGAATGAGTACCTCACATCATCCAATTAATTTCTTAGTTCCGGTATTCAAAACAATAAAGAAGCTCTCAGTTTTAATAATAAATATTGTATTTAGCTCGACTCGATCTCGTGCATCGGCTAACTGTATTCATTGAAAGCAATGGACAATTTTCAATGCGAGCCTACTGAACACCCTCGATCATGACCTTAAAGACATCTTGTCGAGCCTGCCTAACCAACTCGAATGCCTCTTCAGCTTGTTCGAATTTGTATCGATTTGTGATCAATCTCTTGACATCAATCTTTCCACTCGATATCAAGTCAATAGCAGCTGGGTAACATCCATTGAGGTATCTGATGGAACCTTTTATCACCAAAGCCTGGGTGCAAACATACGTGATGGGGAACAGCACGTTTTCTTTTCCCATACCTGCTTGTGTGAATGTACCGCCGGGTTTCGTGGCGAAGATGCCCATCTGGATGCATGCCTCTGCACCGGAGCATTCCAAGACAACATCAGCCCCGTCACCGAGATTGAACTTCTCCTTGATCAAGCCAGCGACCTTTTCCGCGTGCACGATGGGCTCAACACCAGGTTCAGGGCGGGGAGGCATGAATGTTTCGTCGGCGCCATATTGCGCAGCCAGATCCAAGCGTGACTGCACAATATCGACGCCAATGACCTTCCTAGCACCGGACTGCTTCGCAACAGCTTGAGAGAGGATGCCGATGGGGCCGCATCCCATCACAATGACTGTCTGTTGGGCTCGAACATCAGCCGTCTTGTTGATCGCGCAAGCAACAGCGACAGGCTCCACCATGGCGGACTCCTCCATGTCCATAGAATCAGGGACCTTGTAACAAAAGTCCGAGGCGTTGACATAATATTTCGCCAGTGTACCGTCCCAAGGTGGCGTGGCAGCAAAAATCATCTCTCCGCAGTTATGGTAGCGGCCCCCCTTGCAGTGGCTGCATCGCCGGCAAGGCACACCGGGTTCCATGGCGACTCGATCACCAACCTTGAGGTGTTTAACGAGAGAGCCGACTTCAGCAATTACGCCAGAGGACTCGTGGCCAAGTACCATGGGGCCTGTGAGTATGTAGTTGCCAATTCGTCCCCGTTGCCAGCTGTGATGATATGTTAGGACACATATTGCTATGAGTTATGAAGAAGGGACTATCTTACTAATGGACCTAAATAGAGTCAGATAATAACTTCAGTAATTTCCATCGGAAGCGGACGAAAACTCACATCGCTACCACAGATGCCTGTCTGGGAGACATGCACGATAACATCATGCTGGTCCCTCAGCTTGGGTTTAGGCCTATCCTCGAAAGCTACATCTTTGACCGCCCGAAGAACAAATGATAGATTTTCCTACAAAAATATCGATTAGGTCTACTTTCATATACCCATTGAGAGCTTGTACTTACGGCCATTATAGTGATATGTTGCTAAGCAGGGAAAGCGTTGGTGGGCGACACGTCTCAAAGCAGCAGCCACCTTTACCACCCAGCCTTATTATAGACTTGTACCATCAGATCAACATTTATGCGTGTTGTTCAACCCGTTTACGGAGGCCGCCCCCATGATGATGGCAAAGGAAGTGGGTGGAATGTGTCCTAATTGGGAAATTTTGGCGTACTTTGAGAAGCAGAGTCATTGATAACCTCATGGATAAATTTTCCGGGCCGCCAATTTTTTGGGAGAGTGCGGGGGAGTGGGGAAACAGGTTCTCAGGGTCAGTTGCCCCTCGTGCCATCTGCTTGCGTGGGAACTGAGGATACCAATATCCAACCCCTCGCGTAAATTCCCTTTTGCGTTTGTCTAGTCGTAGCACTACAATGACGTGGATTTCTAAAAATTAGACATTCGATAAACATAATATCTTCACAAGAAGTCTAGATTACATTCAAGTCTTATGGTGCTTGTTGGGTAATCAACCGCCTATTTAGCGGGTTCCCATTCGCAACCCCAAGGAACAGGCCTAACCAGGAGAAGGAAATTTGCGACCGACTTCTCCACTGAGAGGCTTAATAAGAAAACACCATGGCGACAAGCTGATGACCCAGTAGGCTCCGATTTGCGGGGAATGACCGCATTCCTCTGCCTCGTCATCAACGAGACTCGCTACGTTGGGGAAATTATCCGCACCATCCAGCTACACATCTGGTTCTTTGAGATATGAGGCATTCGAATACGGATGGACAAAGAAAAGAGGGGAGAAAGACTCCAGGACGAGGCCGAGCTGCAAAACGCTCAAGGAAAGGATGGTGAACACTGACAAATGAGTTCCTGCATGGCCGATCCCTTGCTAACTGAGACAATAGCCCCGAATGTCGCAGGCGTAAAGTAAAGTGTGATGAAAAACAACCTCGATGTGGCCAGTGTGAAAGAAGGGATGGGAATTGCCACTTGAAGGATTCCATCTTCAAACAGCATGTCTTCTCCCCAGTTGAAGTCTCTCACATTGAAGCAGCTCGATCACCGAACGTCGAGTTAAACAATCAACCGAACGATCCAGCATTTGATCTTCCAGCGAGCTTAGAGGAACAAAGTATAACCTTTTAAACCCGTCTCCAGTCACAACTATCGCTGATATGTTGCACAGATAACATTGCCGCGTCGGATGAGGTTCCACTGCTTCAGCCTAACAACACGTCCAATTCACCCCGCTCACACGCACTTCCACCGCCCAGCACATTACCAAGCAGCCTCTTCTCTACAGTTCCCATTGCTTTCCCCCATCACTCGGATGGTTTGCTCTTTGAACAAAACATATCAACGTCAAGCCCTAGTGAAGCACCACGCTCGGAACATGGCCCGTGGCGGCAGCATAGTAAGCCCCTATCCTACGTGTCTCCCGCGTTTTCACTAATAGCTGCAGTTCCCGACACGTTTCCAAACCCACAAACCATTACCGATGATGATTCTCAAGAACCTACAGTTGAGTCATTGAAGGATACCCAACAAGAGCTGTTTCTCCTCCGACATTACTCAGAATGCATAGCACCATGGTAATATCAAAAGTCTGCCTGTCTCACTATTAAAAAATGCATTAACATTCCTATAGGATGGACTTACTTTACCGGTATGAGGTCTTCAGTCGTGAAGTTCTAACCTTGGCTCGCGAGCATTCAATACTTCGATATGCAGCGTGTGCGGTAGCCGCAAAGCAGCTAGGTCAGATGAATCATCCGATCCCAGCTCTTTGCGGCAAAATCCAACAAAGTATCGCGACTCGGTGTTTCCGCGGAAGGTCTGGATTTATTTGGTACGGCATCAAATATTATGAAAAGGCCATTCGAACACTAGTTAAATCCATCACCCCCAAAGATCAACAAGCGCCACACATGGCTCAAACTCAGTCGAGTGATGACCATGCTTCCCCCGCTGTTTCTCTGTCGCAGGGAGATTTAATGGTACGCGCCGAAGGCGAGGACCCAATCGTCAGGCTTCTGGGTACCTGTATTCTTATTCAGTACGAAGCTTTAAGCGCCAACCGAGACGCCTGGTCTGGACATCTGACTGGTTTCTCCAAGCTTCTTGACTTGATCGACGCTGGACAGTTACTTAACCGCCATCCCATTTTCGAGCAAGTTTACCCGTGGACAAAAAGCATTATGGAAGTTAAGGCCGGCTTTTGGAACTTTGTCGCCAACGACTTAGAGCAGTCTTGTAAGCTATCACAATAGGACCAAGTGATTTTATCCTGTGAAGCTTTTGCTAACTTTATTCCCAGTCGTTGCTCATCGCCAGACTCGTGTAGATACAGAGAATCTTGCACTATGGAGAAATATGGGACTCCTCATCGAAGATGATGGGTCACTCAGCCTATTCGATGGTCAGTATAGTCTATCATCAACACCCGAGCATGCAAGGGATAAAGTCCTCTCATACACCTTGATTCGCTTATTATGCAAGTTGATCGATTATGTGGCGCCTATCCCACCGATGGGTCAGATTCCAACACAAGGCTCTCCAAGCAATCTTGATCCTATCAGAGACAAATTCGTACATCTCGAGAGTCAGTTTGACAATTGGTACCGAATCCTCTCTCCGTCTTTCCATCCGGATGGGAAGTTCTCCACTATGGAGCAGGATCCCAAGACGCCCGGAGGTTCTGGGCTCTTCGATAACGCTCTTTGGTTCAGTAATGATCTCTGCTCGACAACAATGATGTATTACCACATGGCTCGCATGTTGCTCATTACCCATCGGCCAGTTAGACTGTTGTCGGGGGATCACGCTCTGGGTAATACGTTACCAGTTGATCTGTTGTCTACCTTCAGGGAGATGGAGAAAGGACTGAAAGTCCACGCTTCAGAAGTGATCGCAATCATTCGCGGAAATCCCTGCGACGCCGTCAAACTAAGATCAATTCAGCCGCTATATCTAGCTGGCCGAAGTTGTACAACAATGAGTGATCGGAGGATTCTTGTAGACATGTTTAGGGATATCCAGAATGGGTTGGGTATTGCAACTGGATATAGAGTTGAGGCTTTACTACAAGAATGGGGAACATCGTACGAGGAACTACAAACACAACCATTGCCAGCTTCCGAGGATCATCATGCACCACAGCAATAAGCTACGATTCACAAAAGTCAAAGGTTTATTCAATAATTCACACCATCTAGCAATCCATGATAACAACATACGCCAATAATGCGGCAGGCATCAAGAGTAATCAGATCAATCGGACCGGCTCCATTAACCAGAAACATGATCTCCAATCTACGCTCGACTTAGTGACCACAGTCCACGCGACAGCAAAGGGCTCAAGCAGGGCGCCCTCGCAATAAGACTGACTAATGATTTTAGTACATTAAGCCTACAGAATAATCACTGAGACGACTGGAAGGATATATGCTTGTACTTCTCTTAATGACCCATGGCACAGGACTCACACATCACATACGGCTCGTGTTACAAAATTGCCCCCCACAAGAAGGTTTCGACTGTGAAATTGGACGTTACGATAACACCAGCCGGTTCGTATCCGACGATGTGAGGGGATATTAGTCGTATCAACGTTAATCATGTGATAAGAAGCCAAGGCCGATTTACGGAGAGATGCATAACTTCCCTGTATGGTGGATACTGTGGATATGAATACGTTCTGTTTAACATGAATTGTGCAGAGTGAAATGTTTAAAAAGAGAGAGAAAAGAAGGGGAAAGAGCTAGAAGAATGGAATAATCAAACAATGTCGTAAATTGAGCAGTTCATGTGGAACAAAATAATTACAACGTGAGATTTGATGACTTGGGCCGATCAATGTGTCTCAGCAGACCTCCCTTGACGGAAACCTGTACACCAGCAGAATTTCCATGAGCCTGAAACCATGCTACGTTTAAGTGCTTTGTCAATTTCACTCAATCGACTCTACATCCCTATCTCAAATCTTGCGATACAAGGCTCGAAGAAATCTGCCAACAGAAAAGGGGTGCTTCTACGTCACTCAGCGAAATAATCGCCTGCCCAGCACGCAAGGTAGAAACAATTCATCGCATAATTTTCCGCGCTTGGCTAGTATCCAAACATGTGGAGATCTTGATGCTGATCCACGCACTTCTACCTCGCCTTTTTGCTACCCCATTCATTTCCCCGTGGGGAGGAGCCGCTATCCGATGTTTGGAGGGAGCCATCTGAAGGATAAATAGGCTGCAGTTAAAGCTAAGCAAGTTCCGGCTTTACTTTGAAGAAAGCTTGACAGCGAATTACGATAAGTGTCACTCTACTATTACCTCTAGTTGCATCATATAACGTTGTCCACAATGACCAAACCATCAGAGCGGCAACCGTACCTTGGTCTAACTGGGAAACGGTTGCTATTTTGGATCACCTTTGCCTGCAGTGTGGACATGCTCATGTTCGGCTACGATCAGGCCGTCTTCAGCGGAGTCATTGTGACTGATAACTTTCTCGAGCTTCATGATCTGGTAGGACCTGAAAGGACCACAGTTCTCTCCACCCTCACTGCTATCTATGATATCGGTTGCTTCATCGGTGCCATCGTTGCATTTACTGTAGGAGAGCGGCTGGGGCGGAAGAAGTCTATCATCTCAGGCACAGCCATCATGGCCATTGGCGCCATTATCAAAACTTCCTCCTTCTCCCTTGAGCAAATGTTTGTCGGCCGCATCATCCTTGGGTAGGTCATCTCATTCCCTTTACTCTTTATTAGCCCCAGCTAATTTCTCGCAAGCATCGGGAACGGTATCAACACAGCCACTGCCCCGATATGGCAAACCGAAACCTCTCCCCCTCACTTGCGAGGAAAACTGGTCATGTTCGAAATGATGATGAACATAGCCGGTTTTTCTCTTTGCAACTGGATCAACTACGGGCTATCATACGCCGGCGGTGCAGTTGCCTGGAGATTCCCTCTCGCATTCCAGTTTGTGTTCATAATTGCTCTCTTCGCTACTGTTCCATGGCTTCCAGAGTCCCCAAGATGGCTATACCACCATGGGAAGGACAGTGAAGCGATAGACGTGTTAGCTCGCCTCCAGGATAAGAACATTAGTGATCCCTTTGTCATTGCTCAGCAAGAAGAGATCAAGTATGGCATTCAATATGAGAAAGACCACCAAATTCGGTGGAGGGATCTCTTCAAAAGCAAGACAACCGAGGACACAAAGCCTCTCCGCCGTCTTCTTCTGGGTGCCGGCACACAATTCATTCAGCAGTTTGAAGGTATGCTCCCGTAGATTCCCACATTCTGGCCGTCTATTAACTGGGAATTAGGTATCAATATAATGTCTTACTACCTTCCAACTGTATTGATCACGGCTGTTGGTTTGTCCAATGAACTCGCTCGTTTGTTGACAGCCGTCAACTCTGTGACGTATCTGATCTTTTCGTGCGTGTCCATTCCTCTCGTTGAGAAATGGGGCCGCCGTGGGCTGATGCTAGTCTCAACCGCCGGTCAAGGGTTTGCCTTTCTTGTTATCACTGTTCTCCTCCGTTATGGAAGCCCACCCTCCGGCAATACCAAAGCAGCTGAGGCATCTATTTTCTTCTTCTTTTTCTACTACATTGCTTTTGGTGTTGGTATGCTTGGAATTCCCTGGCTGTATCCTACCGAGATCAACTCCATCTCTATGCGAACCAAAGGCGCTGCTGTGGCGACGGCGACCAACTGGTAGAAAATCCCACCAATTCGAGCCGTAGAGCAACGATGCTGACAGATGTCCTAGGCTTACCAATTTTGTCATTGTCGAAATCACTCCCATCGGCATCCAGAACCTTGGATGGAAATTCTGGATTGTTTTCACTGTCTTCAATACCGCTTTCATGCCCGTCATATACTTCTTCTATCCGGAGACTGGTAAGTATATTCTCCTCGCTTAAATTAAATAGAAGCGCTAACATCCGTGAAGCAAACCGCACCCTCGAGGATCTAGACGAATACTACCGAAGCAATCCGCCCCTCATCATTGTGGGCGATAAGGATGCTACGTCCAGCAAACGCCCCCTCAAGTACATTGAGAGAGAAGAGTCTCATATTCGCGATGCTGCATCTACTGCTGTCGATACAGCCGCCAGGTCAAAGGACATCATTCTTGGGAGCGAGCACCACGAGTGAGCACAAATTACCGGTGGAGGACATTCTCTTAGGACCATCTTAGGATGTTCCATGTCGATTGCACAAGCTTTTGAATCATCTTACTAAACAAGGAGACGTACGCTTCTCTTTTATCGCGATAAATTCCAAGAATAAAGCAACAATGTGGCACTTCATCTGTTCCTATAATCAATTTTTTTCCTATAATCAATGGTGGTAGTCTTATGTCGTTCCTTAGGTACTCAAGTATCTACGCTCACGTACTGCTGGACCAAGTTCTACTAGGCTCGTAACCTCTCACATAGATTGAATCTATTACCATCCCAAGCTTAAACACACCAATTGAACCTGGTTTTTACTATGCTTGGCTAGCCTAGAAACCACTCCACGTCAAAACACATGTCTCGATGGAGAAGTCCAAAAGTGCAACTCCACACTCTCGGATAATCTTCCAATCTAGACCTATACTATGGATCACGTCGCAAGAAATGACGAATTGGTGTGACAGCGGAAGCCATCCCCAGCGTCATTGCGTTGATTTTGTCTCTCTAGAATGCAAATATTTTGCACATCTATTGCTCAATGAGATCGACTAGTTTCAAGGTCTCCGCTGGTCTCGTGAAACTTGGTCTTGAAATACGATGCTCATCCCAGCAATCCCAGCTCCTGGCCCTCTAAGCACCGAAGTCCCTCTACATTGAACCTAGATCCAAGATGCCTTTATTCCAGCCTGCCGACGTCAACACACACGTGCTTTCTCAATTCTCGCTCAAAAGCAAGATTGCAGCCGTGACTGGAGGTGCAAAGGGCATCGGTCTGGAAGTCGTGCGCGGCTTGGCCGAGGCCGGAGCCGATGTCGCGATAATCTACGCCACCAGTAGTAACGCCGCAGAAGTTGGTGAAAAGATCGCAGCAGAAAATAATGTCAAGGTTAAGACGTACCAGAGCGATGTACGCTCTCGCGCCGCCATTGCAGCAACAGTTGCTCAGATCGTTGCTGATTTCGGCCGACTCGATATCATGGTTGCCAACTCTGGCGTCTGTGCCGATATTCCAAATCTCGAGTACACGGAGGAGACATGGCAGGCCAATAATAGTGTCAATTTCGACGGGGTAATGTGGACAGCTCAGGCCGCAGGGAAAGTGTTCAAGGAACAAGGCAGAGGGAACCTGATCATCACAGCAAGCGTCAGCGCCACTCTCGTCAATGTTCCCCAAAGACAAGCCGCATATAACTCATCCAAGGCTGCTGCTGTGCATCTAGCCAAGAGTCTGGCAGTCGAATGGGTGGACTTTGCGAGGGTCAACTGCGTCTCTCCAGGCTTCATCGAGACGGAAAGTAGAGCTGCCCCGTGTTCTCAGTACCAAAGCGAGGTGATGGGCTGACAGAAGACCTAGTGCTTTTCGTTCAACCAAAAGAGCGTTTCGATAAATGGATGGACATGATTCCTGGAAAGCGCATGGCAAAGGCTGCCGAGCTCAAGAGTGCAAGTTGCTTCCCACCATACATAATGAGTCTTTGTAGTCTACAACTAACGGACGCGAAATAGATCTACGTTTTCCTTGCCAGCGACGCGTGCTGCTATATGACAGGAGCAGACATTATCGTAGACGGCGGGTATACTTTGACTTAGTTAAATTTACAAATCCCTCATTCAATAGTATCGGCTTACCTCAGATGCATACAAAACTCCCAATTGCCACTAGACCGTCAATCGCTTCAGTAGACGTGTTCACCCCAGGCGGCCGGAGTGAGATCAGCCAATATTATGCACAGTAATACATGCGTGTCGCTGAAACTGTGGAGCGTCTCATGGGGTAGATCTCACCACCGTGAATCAATCCAACCAGTGCGGAGGAACTTCAGGTCTGAATGACAACATTAATGCAGAAAGAACAGCACGTGCATGAAGTATCACGGAGGCCTCGCGTCTCTTTGACTCAGCCAGCATGAACAAGGATCATTGTTTCCAGCCAGGGTGGCCGCGTATAATCGGCTGCAACAGCCAATCCGTGTGGGTACGGTCATAACATCCCAAAGTCCCTCGACAGTGGGTACTCATGCGAGGCTTGAGCTGAAGACGCTGTAAGATTACGGTGCAGGTGGCCTTCTAATAATACATGGCGGTCCCGTTGGTATAAGGATGCTGGCTCCCGCTTCAACCAACGCGTTTGTCTTTTCGTTAGATTTATCTCATTTTCCGTTTTGCTATAGTTTCTGTTGACCAGATTCTTTTTGTGCTTTTCACGTTTTTTTTTCTTCTTGTTTCTCCTTTTGTGTCCCCCGAATCCTACTATTGTGAGAAGAGAGTGTTTCGCCTCCCGCACCGAAAATGAAGTCGTCCGTCTTAGCCCTCCTGCCTGCTATCGCAGCGGCAAAGCCCGTTCCTGACGTTGGCATTTCCACCGTCAATGTCGTTGGTGGGCAGGAAGCCAGTGCTTCTGATTTTCCATTTATTGTCAGTCTCGAGAGCAAGACGGAGGGTGAAGAAGGGCACTACTGCGGCGGAACACTCTTGAATTCGCTGACTGTCCTGACTGCCGCCCACTGCCTCGCTGAAGAGGACGCAGAAAATGTTCAAATCCGTGCTGGTCACAGGGTATGTAGTGTTGTTGGATTTCTCCTCGCGGGTCATTTGTTTCCATCCCTAGATTCTTGTTTTCTTGGTCCTGCATGACCCAACAGGTTCATCCCGTCCCGCGCCGGAAAAGAAGCTTACACTGCATGTAGATTCGCAACGAAGGCGGCGTCACAGTCAATGCGGCCTCCATCTGGTTACATCCCGACTACAACGCGACCTCGGCCGAGAACGACCTTGCTCTCGTGCAGCTCGAGGAACCGATCGAGAAGACCAACAACATCACCTACGCCACGCTATCTCCTCCGAAGAGCGACCCCAAGGCCGGGACCCAAGTCACTGTAGCGGGCTGGTAAGCTCAACAAGCTCAATAAGGAGATTCCCAGCTTCTTGACAATGCTAACAGCCATGAATAGGGGCCACACTTCGGAAGGTGGTGACTTGGCAGACACCCTGCAGAAGGCCTCCTTCCCCGTCATCGACCGCGCCGAATGCAAGAAGACGCTCAACGCCAACATCACCGAAGGCATGTTCTGTGCCGGAGAGCTCAAGGGCGGCATCGACTCGTGCCAGGGCGACAGCGGCGGTCCTCTGCTCAACGACGAGAACGGCAACGTCGTCGGCGTCGTGTCCTTCGGCTTCGGATGCGCCCGTGAGAACTCGCCCGGCGTCTACGCTCGCGTCGGATACTACCGCGACCTCATCAACAGCAAGATGTGGAAGCCCGCCGTAGCAAGACGGTTCTTCGCATGAGCGGACCTAGAGTCTGCCCGAGTAGCCGGTCTACTTGCGGATGTCGTAATGATAATCAAGCCCAGATTTATAGATCTTTTGGGAATAATAGTTATGAGGAAGGGACACATTAGCGATTTTTTACTTATGATTTGGTTGTGCCAGCTGGATTTGGCCGGAATAGAAACATAGCATTACGAAATTTGACGATTATTGAACACACCAAGGCTCCATGATTGAATCGATCGAATGCTCATAGTAATTGTACTCAATCACAGCCCTGGAAGATATAGAACAAAACGAATCAATTCAATCCAAGCATCTGTCTTCGATGCGCATTGCATCAATTCTGCATTAGGGGAAGAATAAGCATAACTGCGTCGGCCCATTCCGACTCCCGTGTTGGGGCGGATGTACACGTAGCTCATCCGTCCATGACCGGCCGATTCGGTTTCCGTGCACAGAGGCCTCCAGCGCCCCAAATCTATAGCGAACATCTCTTGCCAGCCTTAATAACTGCATTCGGGATTGATTTTAAGTTCCTTGAGGCATTCACACGGTGGGCCAATGCGATCCGGTCATCCCATATATCGCGACCCCAAATGTCGGACGGTCCATTCCTAATTTTGCTTTATTGAACAATGGTGAATTATAATATTCTATAATTCTCTGTAGTGTCTATTCATGACTATATTCTAGTTTGATAAGAGCTTCGTAGCAGGGGACAGGTCCTGTATTGAAAATTCATCAGTTGACAACATCCCAGTAAGAGCAAAGTTCTTCATAGTCGGAGAAGCTCACAGTATAGACTTCCATATAGCTCATCAAAGGCTGTGAAGTGGGGGCAGAAGCTGCATCGAGCTTGATATGTGTAGCGAATGGAGAATCAAGACTCTTCCCGTTGCGAAAGGTCATGTAAAGACTGCCGATGATCACTATTTCTGGGGACTCTCCGTGATCGCCAAAGAAGGCCCGGTCGATCGTATGCTTCCGTGACTCAACGACCTTCCAAGCATTTTCACGACTGGCTGCGATCTCTAGAATCTCCCTTGTTAGCAACCAAGTTGATCGCATCCAGAACGAGGTTTACAAACCAGCAGAGCTAGTGAAGCTTCCCTGCGGTGATTTAACGCAGGCGTCGCTAGAGAAGACTTTGGATGCTAGGATCTCTCCAGCATCTGCCTGGGGTGAATCGGACAGCTCGTAGTACCTCGAGATGAGATCCTTGATGGGCTGGCTGAAGGCATCTGATTGCCAGAGAGTAGATTCTGTAGCGTGGCCCATTACGTATATCTTCAAGTATATTCAGGGATGTTGCTGTTGGGGATGTTTCGGAAAGGCAACCCCAAGCGGAACTACGTGATGCACATGATCATTCATAACAACGTCCATGTGTTAGCCAAGATATTGGCAAAACAGTCTTTACTAATGTATAGTTGAAAAATCTATAGTCGGGGTGTTCACTAGACGATTCAACAGTTCTTTCGGATATTTCAATTGCCCGAACACTTATTTGAGGACATGCAAAGAGCCACATACAACAGAGCCTTGAGCAGTGCTTTCGGTATTCCAACTCCCCGAACAGACTTGTCCGAGATCCACTGAAGCGGAAAGCGTATTATTAAGCAGTATCCTATGGATTTAAGATTTCGGACCATCCGAATCTCCTTCGTCAATAAGAGGTATCGTACGAGCGCTCTCCACAGTCCAAGGTGGAGCTTTTCAACCAGGTGGCCGACTGGTTTATAAGGACTTGGCGTCCTTGGAATAGGGATAACTGGCAGGCCTTCTCTCATTAATGTAAACCAAAATTGCCTTCACTCCAAGTCACTCATTTCCCCGAGGACCCGTAATTAGGTCGCAAGCTGTTGACAGAAAGGACTCTTCTTCCGTAGCTTTTCTCCGTACTTTATGAAGGCAAATGGGATAATGGCCAATATGAGCGTGATGAAACCCAGCAGTGAACAAGCCCACTGAATCCCCAAGTTGCCATACATTTGAGGAGCCGCTAGAGGAAGACAAACGGCCGTTATAGACCGCATGGTGCTCATTGACGCCTGAGCAGAAGCCGAAAATTCCCTGTAGGCATCAGTCACATAGTTTAGGAGCGACATGAAGATGATGATGTATCCAGCACCAAACAGGAGTCCCGACATAGCAGGGACTGCAGGGTGAATCCATGGGAAGGAGGTCCATCCCAGCCAAAATAGGGAAATAATAATTCTACCGAGGTCAGCGAAGAGGTCATCTAATACAATAAACGACGAAGGAACTCACAACGGACCACCGAAGCAGGCAAGGGGAAGGCGGCGGTATTCAATCTTCATGGCCCACTCAGCCCCTGATAACATACATCTGCGATGGTAAGACGTGTACCATAGAGAGATGAACAATGCAGAAAGTGAACCGCCAGACACTATCAATTGTGAGATTCCGGGAAACAAGCAGGGGACAGATCAATGTGGTTACCTGGTAAGAATGTCAAGCCAACCTCTCCTGCGGAAAGGCCATAAACGCCTATCGAAATCTTAGCTTCTCCCGTCGAAAGTCTCAGGAGAGAGAATACGACAAACCTTGGTAAATGATAAAATAAGACTGGAAGAATAGATAGAGAGTCGCATAGATTAACGACAAGTATAATCCAGTGAAAAGCACGACCGGCTCCTTGACGATCATGATAAACGGTCTGGAGAAGACAATTTTGAGTTCTTCCCGCAAACTAGGCTGCTCTTTCCCATACGGATCATTGACGAGAGCCAATTCAATATTGTTACGCTTCATGTGCTGCCGTCTGATGAAGTGGATGTAGGTTTCGGGCAACCAAAGGATCAGCGGCAAAAACACACCAGAAATGGCTAATGCGATCCAGAAACTCAGTCTCCAGGAGTATTTTTCCACAACATAGCCTGATATGATGGGTCCGAATGGCGGTAGCATCGCAGTCACGCATCCATAGATGGACACGGCGTTGCCCCTTTCCTCGGGAATGTCGAAGATATCCGCATAAATAGGACCAACAACAACATTAGGAGACGAGGCGGCAACTCCACAAAGAAAGCGAAAGAATATCAAAGCAGAGTAGGAGGGGCTCACGGCACAGCAGATGGTGAATATCATGTACCCAACGTAGGTGCCAATGATGACGAGTCGTCGTCCGATGTGCTCACTAAGAGGCCCAAAAACAAGAGGACCAATAGCAAATCCAATCATAAACAGGGAATTTAGCAGCACAGGATACAGTGGATTGGTGATTTTGAAGTCCTTCACAATCTCACTGGCTGCTCCCGACGGGAGAGATGAGGCCAAAGCGCTGTTCGAGATGGAGACGAGACCTGCCGCTGCCACTAGTAGTTTTTTCGTCTTCCGAAAACATAGTCGTCAGTATTGCCCTCGTATCTGAATGGAAGATTTATCGCGAGGGATGGAGCATACACGAGAGAATTTGACAGGAATCTTCTCGTCCGGGAGCAGCACGGCGGCATCCAGCCAGACTCTGTTCTCGGTTTCGGTAGCCATCATGAAACACTCAAGATGAACAACAGCCGACTTCTCCCACAACTCAAATCGTAATAGAAAGGACACAGTCCGTCGAGATTTTTCACCGACCGAGGAAGAAGAAGGAAAATTTAAATCCCCGCGTCTGCAACCGAAACGAAATGGAAGGGCCGATCACCGCTCTCCGGTTTTGCTCCGGATTACCCCACACTTCACGCCCTACACCCAGAACACGCCTTTATCTCCGCCATATCCCCTTTTAACCATAATTACTTAGACGACTATGCATCTATCAGACTGCTAAAACCTTTCTCTTTCGGGTTGTGTGAGGCACCCTGCATAATGAGATGTATTTAGTAATCACCGCCTCAGTATTTAAACTCTTGCTCGGCTATTTTCTTACGCTTGGCGAAGGGATCGCGATCAAGCATAGAATATTATCTCTTTAATCAGTAGCCGTTCTAGCGTCCATGGATTGGGAGCATAATACACTATTTAAATCATGCTGGCTAGATGTTCACAACCACATCTATTATTATATAGCTTGCTAGCAGTGAGCATAGATACTATCGACGCAACGCGCTCGAGATGAGTTTGAACTACTTCGTGAGCCATCTATGCTTTTCCAGACCCTTCCATTCAAAATACGTCATATAAATAGGTGTAAGAACCATATTGATCCCGGGCGAGATATTAACTCGGGGCACATTTGACACCAGCATCAATGCAGAAGCCGTGGCAAATTGGGTTGTGGGGGAGATATCTGAGTTCCTATTGACGTCAATATGCCCGACAACAATCTGACTCACACGCTGATGAAAATATCGCATGACTTACGATTTCAATCTTAATACTTGACCAGACGCCCGAAGAATGAGACAGAATCAAAACATTGCCACTACTAACTACATATGTTCCCTTCTGGTGGCCAAAGCACTCCTTAAGTTCCAAACAAAGCTTGTTCCTTTATTACCTTTCATCTGACTCTTAAACTGTGCTCAAAACCCAATAATGAGTTTCGAGTCATAAAGCTTCTCTTCGGTGATGTAATGGGGTTTCAAATGGTCTTGCAAGGTTAGAGGCTGTACAAGGAGAATGATCCTTTCGTCCATATGCGGACGACTGGTACTACAAGAAATATTGCACCAACCAAAAATCAGTAGGACACAATGCATCAAGATTGTAAATATTTTTAGGTGAACGGGTCCGAAGGTGTCATTCTGCAATATAGTATCATTGAGACGTTTTTGCTTTCTGCCCTCTGATTTCCTCTTTCTTTTATTACATTTGCGCGCAGTCCGTTGTATAAATTGACTTAGTATTGGGCCAATGAGAATTCAAAGAAAAATAAAACAGCCAATGATAAAATGTCTAGACCAATAGCATTAAAGGCCAAAGGCGAGTTCAAAATGCAGCATGTATCCCATTTTTTTCATTGGTCTATACGCTGGGAAAGTCAAATAATATTTAAGCCTGATTTCCCCATGGGGTATGTAATGAGTTTGATTCAACCAATGGTGGGTTTTCTAAATGGAAGACCATATTAAACAGCATTCATCAGAGGCGATATTTCTTAGTTTGGTACAGAAGGCACTGGATCATTTGAATAAAATATGCTTTTCAGAGATAAACACAGACGCTTACATGTGATATTTGCAAAGTCAAGTCGGTTCACATGAGTATTTACTTACGCGGGAGAGTTTGAGTACGAGGTCAAAAGCAGTAATGGAAGATGCCAGAGCCAACATCTCAACACAATGAATGGGCAAAAGGCCAATTGAGTCATATTTAATCTTTCAGACAAACCCAGTCACTCGTCAGCTGTGATAATTTCAAAGTTAACATAGTCGTCTCACATGAACAAGATGCGTAGAAGGCTCTGGAAAAGAAGATTTCCTTGGATGATTATTCGTCACATATGGGGAGTCTTAACCATATCTAGATCTTGGGGTAACTTTTGTTTCCCCACGGGGAAAAGTTAGCAAATGAATCACAAACCTTGACTGCCCGAGAAGAGAATCATGGGCCCAACCTTGTGGTCCATGATTCTCTTCTCCGGCAACAAGCCATGTCCCTGACTCACATTCAGAAAGCATAAGCTGGATGCGTGGTAGACGGCAGATCAGTCTCAGCTCAAGCTGGCCCTGGAATGTCTACTTAAACCCTTCTTCCCTCCAGCTTTCCTTTCGTTTTCTTCTTCCTTTCATCATCAGTTCGATAACGCACACTCCCATACGATTACCAACGATTACCAACGATTTCACCGATAACGCACACGAACGACGACGAACCTCGCCATCGATTGTAAGTATTGAACACATTCACCCTTGAAGCGTTTACTGACCATGGCTTTCAATCGTAATCAGACGTACCTCGACTGCACTCCGTCGCCGCAACGAAGATTTTTTCGACGACCGACCAAGATGTAAGTTGAAGCCATCCCCAATACCACCTTTTCATCCCCCTTCCTTACCCATATCATCATCACCCTTCCTTACCTATATTTCTATTACCCTTCCTTACCCATATCATTATCCATCTTCCTTACCTATATCATCATCCACCTTCCTTGCCCATGTCATCATCCACCTTCCTTACCCATATCATCATCCCCTTTCCTACCTATATCTCCATCACCCTTCCTTGCCCATAGCGAACTTAGTCGTCTTCAACTATGATGTATATCAATACTAACTATATTAGGTCCGCGATGCTCGCCGAGTCCAACCTGTCGGAGCGGTGCCCTTGCGGGCACTGTGATGATGACACCGGGAAGACAGAGCCCGAAC